TTGGTCTTACATACTGGGGTCGAAATCCGTTTTGATTTCATCAGGGAATTATTCATAATAAGTTGTTTGCCTCAACTCCAGCTCTTTGCCTGCTGCTAGGTTGACAGAAAATTAGTCAGACAGCATTTCCAATATGGCGAACACCATCAGTTGCCTTCAAAAGCCTGATTCAGAAACCAATGTGTGACATCACTGAGACTACGTCCGTGTATATACAGTCTATGACTATAACTACATTATTTAGAATACATTTAACTGTTAATGTTTAGGGAGGTTTTGTCAAATTGACATTCTTACCATGCCAATATAAGTGGAACCTTTAGTTTGTGGTGATTAAGGTGACCCCTGTGGACAAAACAATACCTCTAATCTTTTTGCTGATTTTGTCCTTTATGTTTGTAGGAAGCATTTTATAAATGAAAATCTCATCCTGCTTTCTTTTAACAGTCAAATGTATCATTGACAGTCTATCTATCATTACAATTTTTTAAAGGCTCTTCACGCAGCATGCTGTGAATCCCTTTGTATGACACCGACCCCCTGAGCAGCCGCTTCAGGCATTAAAAAAATAACTAACAAGAGTTAAATCTTTTTCCTGATGATCACGATTTCTATTGTAGCTCATAAAGAGTCATCAACATTCGTATCAGTCTGTTTTATAACCATCCAAAAACTCTGCTTAGTAGCTTTAAAACGTCCAAAAACTCTGCTTACTAGCTTTAACATTGTTTGCTGTAAATATTCTATTATTTCAACAAGCTTATCCAACATGATAAATAATCCATCTCATCCAACCATTTGCAAGTGTAATTCAATATTTTTAGTTAACAATTAGTGCTGTAAACATCTTTACATGTTGGTTTAATTTTGTAACCATTAATCCATTGCCATTCATTAACAATTTCAGTCCTTAAGCCAAACACTTAAGGACTAATGTGTTACTTTTAGCTCATTGAATGACATTTTTGACTTTGGTTATACTTCTCTTAGCTTAACAGATTGGACATTAAGTGAAAGAACTACCAATGTAAACCATTTACCCGTTACTTTAACTGTTTCATCTATTCATACAATACATATCTATCTTAATACGTGTACATCAACTGTTACTGCTACTTTCATTAACCAATATTGACCATTTATTCAGAATCTATATTCTTTAAATCTGCATAACTATTTAAACTGTGTATTAATGTCTTTCAGATATCTATTTAAACTATTTAATCCATCAGTTCCAGCTAACTGTTTGCATTTATGTTGCTTGCTTACTATTTTTCTGCCATAGGATACAGATACTGTTCAGGTGTTACAGTTTCATCATTATATTGATCTACACTTCTTTATTGTAATAGCCATTTTTTTTGAACGAGTGGAGTCTCTCCATCTTTTCTCACATTGACAAGTATCCCTGAGGTACGAGCCCTGCTTGGGTTGGGAATCCATGTTTCTAATGTGCCATACTTTATTTTTCATATACAGAGGGGTCCCTTTTCCCAAGTGTATTCCAACATCAATGATCATAAGACACAAACTCTTCAGAAACACTTTTAATCACAATAAAGATAAATAGTCCTACAAAGCAGAGTTTAGAATCAAAACAGAATACAGCGGCGCCGTCTCTGATCATCACTTGATAGTGTGCTGACACGCAGACTCCATTAAGCTGTCTTCAAATATGCAAAAATGATATGATTTTACAATGATTACATATTCACTTCCCCAGCTGGCTGGCTCCAAGCGTCTCCATTTGTCATCGACTATTGTGTCCAATTATATGATTAGCTTTGAACACTCCAGCACTTCGAGAGCTCTCGTGTGTTCTGCCGCGCAGAGTGATTCGCAAACAAAGTCATTACAACATGTATTCACACATATCAAATAACAAAACAGATGGCCACTGCGCTTGCCGCCTGATTTGTTTTCCACACGAGTGGTAAGAGAAAAAAAAAAAAAAAGGATTCTGTGTGAGCTGTGTTTAATGCTGACTGTTTTTATTCCCAAAGAAGAGCAGCTGGCTGTCGCGCTGTTAGATCAGCTCCTATGAAAGACAATCTTGTTTTCATTAATTTCTCTACAACAAAGGCACTTGTTGGGAAGATTTAGAATTACAGCGGGTAAAGCTTCCGGATAATTCATCACAGGGACTTGACAGGAAACTTAATTGTTTTAAATGCCAGTTGCTGTGAGCAGCGTGCCTGGTTTGTCTTTGATGTCTAACAGGTGGGACAGATAGACGACCCTCTGATGTTTCATTCGACCTTTGGCCTCTTAGTTATAAATCCACTTGTAGTCTGCCGGCCAATAAACCTATCATCATGTGATGAACTGCACTTCCCAGAATTCAGTGTGAGATGAAAATCCTGTGGTCTGCCTCCTCTTATTAAACACAGTGTAAATCTAGCCCGACTATATCCCTCCGTCTGGAAACTTCTTGACCCATCAGCACTGTACTAACCAAGAACAGAAACAGACTCTGACTGGAGTTCAACCTTTTATCCACTGTGTCAAAGACATTTGAGCGAACTTGCTTTTCAAAATAAAACATTCTTACTAATAATATTTCTACCCTCCCTTTAACTCTCATGCAGCTCCGATTGTTATCCAAAGTTTCAAATACCAAGCAAGTCATTTATTTTGAAAGCTTAGCTGTAATGAGCGTCCACTTTCTACCCTGGAAAGACTAAACTGATCGTGTCAAAACAAAGAATCTATTTCGCCTGCTGGCTCTGATCAGTTAAGCCGAGTGGATACATTCTACCTTTTGTGTTTTATTTTTATTTTTAATGACACTTTAATATACATCCTGTTGTATCTTGATGCCCTCTTTGTATACTGTATCTGCATTTCATGCTTTATGTTGGTGTGTTTTCCATACGTTTCTTATTTATACTTTGACTGCAAAACTAAAGTCTAGTGAAGTTGAAGTTCCGATCTGTGATTATGGGAGTCCATCAGTCCTGAAACACAGCTTGGTACAAGTGGCTGTCCTCTCGGCCAACCAATTCAGAAACTCTAAAATCAGCATTCAATGAGAACATGTTAAAGCTGTCCAGCACGTCCTCAGACTCTAAACACACTCTGAACTGTGGAAATAAATGATTAGCATCAAAACCAGACATACAGGGTTCCATGTTTTAATATCAAATGTACCTAAGTAACGTGTCCTTCATTTTTATGTTCCAAATGTAGATAAAGATATTCAAAAAATATTTTATCCAAGTATTCTCAATCAATCAGTGTCTTCAAAAGAGTGACACAGTTCAGTTGTATTCAGTTGTGTTTTTGTGCTATGATAACCTTTTTGGAAATGACTTTTGTGTGTGTGGTTACACCCCAGGGTGCCCCTGACTGTCTAATTGTATGAGACATTACATAGTTACTCAGCCACACTGACTCACTGTATAATTCAGTTAAGTCTGTGTTGGTGCGACAGACACACTAACTTGATTATTTTAGCAAATAGCAACCACTACTCAGTTCTTAGCTCAGATGATAAAGGTAGGATAGGACATCCTCTCACAGATATATCTGTCAAGCACTCAGTAACTTAAAGCTCACACATTGTCCGTCATTCGAGGATAATTCCAGGAGTCATTTCAGGATTTTGCGTTGAAGTGCATGTGACCTGACATTAAAGCATTCCTGTGCAGGAAAAGTATTCTCCTTTTAAGGTTAAGGTTGCTTTAAATCTAGTAAATAGCCTCGCTGACATCTCCTGAGGATGTTACAGTAAATGCACTTTAAGTGACTGAATCATTTAACATCTAATCAATACGATTCACATTGCTCCACAAACACACACTTCAGTCGGATTCATGTCCAGGAAGCTGTTACAACTGTATTTAACAAGTTCTCCTCTGTGATGCCGAATGATTATATAACAGAACAAAACACAAAACATTTGCTTTTATGATGCAATTTGAAATGTTCTTATGCACAAAAAGAAAAAAGTATAAAGATCTGTACAGCAGAGAGTTAACAATCTTCCACTATCCAGTGTATGTCCACAGACTGCACAGATCAATCTTGCTCTGGAAGGTTGATATGATCTAGCTGTGCCATGCTGCCATCACCTGGCCAGTATGCTAACAGCATGCTTTTAGTCTGCTTCTGTTTAGTGTTTGGGAGAATAATAGTTTGACTACATTTATCAGCTTGCGGTTTAACCACTCTCATATTTCAAAGATATTCATCTGTAAATTGAATGTTGACAATTTCCTCTGTAGACTTCAAACTATTTTTGACCCCCTCAAAATTCTGTTTTTTATTTGTCTTGTGTTTTTGCTTTTCTTCTGTAATTTAACACCTTTAACTTCCACTTTGTTTTTTTCTGTTTACCTTACACGTCCAGGCAATGCATTAACATCGTCAGCTCCATTTGAGACATAACTGCCAACTGAGATATCCTGCATGATGAAAAAGTCCAGATGTCAATTTAAGTCTGATGTCGTAGTCAGGTGGATTGAAAACACGACCAAAACTGGCATTCGGCACACTTTCTCATGAATGCTATTTTATCATTTTCTTTGCACTTTTTTTGCAGTGCAGTCCATTGAGTGGCATGTCACGTTTGCTAGCATGCTTTATTTTGTTATTCTTTAGTATCAGAGGAGCTAGCCTTCTCCCCTTGTTAGCTTGTAGTTTAACCTCTGTGTTAAGTCTTAGACAGCTTGTAGAGCGTCCCCAACACTGCTTCTACTTCGTTTCATAATGATTCATCGAGTGGTTGTGTGAAGTAAAGTGACAGCAGTTCAACAGTTTATTTGCACCTCATGTGCTTGACATCTGCCTGAGTTGATTGCTATATTTAAACCTTGCTGCAGCATTGATATGCTGCTGAAGTTTTCAATATTGTGGAGAAAAAAAAAACACAACCCACTATTGTTTCCTGTGGTGGGTGTTCCCCCCCCCCTGCGGAGAGTTGTCTGTTGTTGTAGTTGTTGGTTGACGTGGCTGTAAAGACTTTTCTACATAATTACAAAGCAAACACTGAGATACTGTCTGTGGGCTGGGATGTTTTTTTAATGATTATAAGCTTCATTTTCGCCTGCATGTGTTACACCTGAGCCTCAGACACTCGTGCTTTGTCTGCCAGAGCAAAGATGCACAAAAAACATCTCCAGTCTCCTGGGTGAGTCAATCAGCTCTGAACACAGATGTTTTTGCCACAACAGCAGCACTCCCATACTGTGAGTGTAAATTACACCTCAGAAATTAATTGCAAGTTTTGATCCTTTTGATAATAAACCCCCGTGCACAGTGATGCATTCAGTGTTACAAAGCGAGCGTGCAGTACACACCGGTGTGAAAGTTTCATGTTTGGTTTCATATCATCGCGCTGGTCAGGTTGCTCATCGATCGGATGCTGCCTGTGTGCGTGTGTCTGCTCTTCCGCCTCACGCTCCGCAGATAGTTCCTGTACAGAATCACGCTAATCACTCTGTCCTGGAACTGTTTGGAGACTATGTAGTACAGAATGATGTCCAACACGGTGCTCAGGTTCATAAGGAAAGTGGTGAAGACCGCCCATGTGCTGAACCCGCCATCTTCGTCGTCTCCCAGCAAACGCACAACCAGACACACGTGGAACGGCACAAAGCACACCAACACCTGGATGATCAACGTGATGATGATGCGGATAGACTTCTGCTTCACTTTAGGCTTGAGTTTAGAGGTTCTGCCATGGATCAGATTGTCCACGATGACTATGTAGCAGCCAATCATGATGCAAATGGGGACCAAGAAGAAGAAGATCAGACGCACGAAGTTGACGAGGTTGTCTTGGCGCATGTAGATGATGTCTTGCATTTTGATGCAGGTGGTGAAGTTTGAGGCGCGGTCGGGGTCTTCTCCTGAGAAAAGCAGAGGCACGGTGCTGCCAAGAGTCATAAGCCACACTCCTAAACTCCCCACCACGGCTTTGGGGACGTTCCTCAGCTCTTTGGCGTGCTTTGGCTGCACGATGGCCATGTAGCGGTCAGTGCTGATGAGCGCAAACAGCCACAGAGCCATGCAGGGGTAGAAGATGGTCAGCGCCGCCGTGATCCTGCAGAACAGGTCTCCAAAGTACCAGTAGTCCTGTTGGTGGTAGACCATCCTGAAGGGAAGCAGCAGGATGAAGGTCAGGTCCACCACTGCCACGTTTATCATGTAGACGGTGACGGAGTTCCTCTTCTTGGTGGTGAGAGAAAACACCCACAAAGCAACGAGGTTGACGATCACGCCGATGACGAAGATGAAGCAGTAGAAGACCAGGCCTGCCATGCGGTACTCCACGGGTCCCTGCTCCAGCTTCACAGCACCAGAATCCACCGACATGTTGGAGCAGTTTGGATCCAGGTTCATCCTGAAACTTACAGAATTCAGCAAGATATGTGTTAATTTCCAGTCAATGGATACTTATCATGTTTTATTGTTCTTAATAACCTATTTGTTTTCATGTTTTCAGTTTGAAAGTCATGTGACTCAAGCATGGTCTTAAGTCTGTATTCTGGCCATTTCTTTCGAGTCTCTAAAAATAATGAATGTAGCTCTGTAATTCACTGTCAGCTTTAAAACATAACAAAAGGTTGTCTGAACTTGTTGCATTTGATTTAAAAGAAAAAAATAGGATTTTAGGTTTCCTCTTATCTAAGAATAAAGACAGGTAGTGCTACTTACTCTTGAACATTATGTTGAAGATTGTCCGTAAGTTGTCCAAATGCTGTAGGTTTAAATTCTAGGAAAAGAACATAAAAAAATATGTTTAAACTCCATAAAACTGAAGTGTTACTAACTGTTAAAGTATAATAGTTTAAAAACACAGTCAAAAGTTATGACTTAAAAAAAGGAAAAGGCAACGTTACAGTTGAATCAGCCAGAAGCTGTTTCTAAATATGAACATGCTGTAATATGTGTTTTTGCAATTTGCAGAACCTGCTGCTTGTTAATTTGAATAGATATTTATAAAAGCTGTGCAGCTGCACTGTGAACGACACAGGAAGAGAAACAGACCATGTCTGTCTATACTTTGTGTCAGTCCAATTAAATTATGAAACATAAACAAGCTATTAAAAAAGAAAGGAACATATTCATGTACATCAAAGTGTAGAAAGAATGTAGAAGTGTAACTTTAATCCATGTTGAGGGTGAACAATGTAGAAGTGAAATTTTGGTCTCAGAAATGATTCTGTGTGTTGATGGTAAAACCATGTGACTTCCTTGTTTCACTTTTGGGTTGTTATCCTTTTTACTGTAATTTACTGTACTTCTTATAATCACTATTATTACTCTTATTGAGCCTACTGTGTAACACTGCATTTGTTATATGTCTGAATTGTGATTATTGTACATATTGCTGTCATTTTTTAAACTCTATGCGCTTTTTGTACATCGCTTAATTCGTCAATACTTTTTTTAACATACCTTTTTTCATATTTATATTCTCATGCTATTCATATTTATATTTACATTCCTGTATTTCCCACTGTCATGTTGTGTATGTGAGTAACTGTAATGAACGAAACTTCCCCAGGATAGAGTATTTCTAAATCACAACTATGTGTTTTGTTAATTAGGGTGATTATTTGTTTAAAAATGTATCCACCTGCAGAATATTAATGAAATCAAGTCATTTAATTCAGTCTTTGTCATATTTTTTTTTTTTTTACCAAAACAGACCTACAAAAGAGACTTTAAAACATGGCTGCCAGATCTACTTTCCCCCCTCTGTGTCAAAAGTTCAAACAGATCAGGTAGCTTTTCCTCAACAATAAAAAACTTCACTTACCAAAGAAATCACCCAAACATCTCGACAAGCTTTGTGAAGCAGTGTGGCGGTTTATCTGAGCACTCAGCCAAAACAGGGAAGTGAACGCTTTCTCAAAGGGTAATGTGATGGAAAGCGTGGTGAGACTGAGCACAGTGTAAAGCCCCCCCTTCATCACTTCCTGTGTCGACTACACTTTCAGATTCCTTTACAGTATCTATGTAGTTGGAACACAAAGGGGCTACAGCTTTCCACAGTCTGCAATTACACCCCCTTAAAGAAAATGATGTGCCATTAGAAGTGGGAGTGTGTTTGGCAGGCAGAGAGATGGCAGATTTAGGGCGAGTTATTGATTGGAAAAGTGGGGTCTGTCACAGCACATTAGTTCTCAGGGGAGTAATCCACAGCAGGTTGCAGTGAGAAGCATCTGCTGCTGGAGAGAAGTAATTAAAAACAGGATGTTGAGGCAGTTGCCATATAAACAGGAAATAAGACGGTGGTAATAGACACTTCACGCTGATGCTGTGAGATAGTTTTACACCACGTCCACTTAATGGATGCAGAGCGCATAGCTCAGGTGAAGAGCTCAAGGTCAGTGTGGACCTGGATTGAATACAGATTAATGTGTGTGATTAATGTGCGTGTGAGCCGCTAACAACTATGAATTAGGACGTTTGGCTCAAAGAACATTGTGCAATCAAAAAGTTCTTCCCCTGATCTCATAACTGCTACTTTCTGTTCCCTTTATTGATCTTATGAAATGCACAATAAATCACACTTTCTCACGACTTGCACTCTCTCCACACTGAGCTGTTTTACACGCACAATGTTTCCACACCAGTGTTAAATATCAAAGCTGCTCATTCAGTCTTATTCTTATTCCTGGGAACAATTATCTCTCGGCTTGTCCTCTCGGTGTGTCTTAAAAAAATCTCAGACCAGATGGCACCTTGTGTTCATTGCAATATGTTGTTATGACAACAGTCTGTGTGATGTTTCCCTCTCTTTGATACTCGTCATGTGGCTGCCTTTGCAGCTCCATAAAAAACCTCAGGTATTTATTGTTCACCTGCATGAAACGAGTGAAATTATTGTTATCGGTATCCATCAAGCAAATATTAGGTTCTGTCTTTTTTTTAAATTATTTATCCAATCATCTGATATCCATGATAAGTGTAAAATAAACTCTTACTTTAAAAATAAATATATTAACTGAAGATCAAAATATATGTGAATAGATATTTGGCACATATTAAAAAGCCCATTTAACTGCTTTATCCATCATCTCTTTACCCTGTTTTATACAGCCCTCTAGTGGCTGAAAATAGTCACTACAAAAATGACAGATTTAAGAAGCAGTCTTTAGCTCTCTTTTTTTCTTCCTTTTTTGTGTGTCTTTTGCTCTTTTAATGGGTCATTTCTTATATAGGCATGTTGCACAGGGGAATTAGAAAATATAATGGGTTTTATGTTTAGTATTCAATCTACAATTCACTTAGCAGACGCTTTTATCCGAAGCGACATACAATGTCTGGTAATGTATGCCCAAAATGACTTGACAGACCATGAAGTTAAAAAAAAAAGAGTCTCAGTGTAAATCACAGGCTGTATAAAAAGATGGACAACAAGACAGCTCCCAAAAAGTGAAACCAAAAAGGTTCTTTATACTGACCAGCTGCAGTACTCATAAGCTGGGGAAGTCTGGGGGTCTTTCCCCCCAGGGAAATATTGAGCGTCTCATCTCTACTTCCAGTATTCTGGTGTATTTTTATCCACCTATTTGTCATGAAATTGTCTTTATTCTAGTAAAGGAAAACACAAAACCAATAATTTTTTTCATTTTAGAAATAGATGTCTGGCTTGTACTTCCCTTATGAGATATCACATTAATGCCATCAGTCACATGATAGTCTGAGGACGCCCATGCACCAATAACAGAGAAAGACGTTTTCTTTTTCACTTCTGATTATCAAGATTTGATCTTTTAGGGAGATTCCACTTTAATTTGTATGTCTTTACTCAGAAATTCAACATTTGTTTATATATTAGGGGAAATATTAGATGGAAATATTCTTTAGTCAGTTTGTCCATTATATACTGTAGAGTGGATTATGTCCAAGTTATAACCTGGGTAGTGTTATCACGAGCTTGGTTATGAAGTGGAAGCATCAGTGCAGAAGTTTGTGTTGTTTACCTCTTCCTTTGTAAACTATTAATAGGGATTAAATGGTTTATTTTAAACTACATCATTGAAGCTTCCATTAGCTACACAACATCAGTGATCCCGACTGTATGTGTGTGAACTCTTACCCGTCTGTCTCTCTCTGACTCAGTGATTCGAATTTGTGGCAATAATACATTTTTACGTTTTTTATTCTTCTATCCGTCTGGTATACTTCAAAATGTCAGAGCTTTTTACAGTAATCACACACTGTAGCCAAGAATAAGGGCGCTAAATATAAGATAAAACATTTTGTTAAAGTTTTATGTTGATGCAGAGAACGAGAGAGACAGAAACCCATAGCTCTGTTAGTCTTGTGTTACACTGGAATTAACACTTGTTCTTTTTTTTTTTTATTGTTGTTGTTCTTGTCTGTTATTTTCTAATGCTTTGTTTCTGCAATGTTCAGCACTTTGGATGAACTATGTTGTGTTTAAAGTGCTATATAAATAAAGTTGAGTTGAGCTGAGAATTGCAGATAAGTAAGGTAAATGGAACGCTGTCCGATGACACTTTCGGCCAGCTTGCTTCCGTCTCACCTTTCTGCCAGGTCGAGGACAGATATGCAAATGGGAATTGAATCGTACTCTAAAATCAAAATTACACATCAAATAACTTTCTCAAACACGGTTTCTGTCTTTAGTCTTTATAATGCATATTTATGTCCAAGTGTTGATTCTGAGGAGATACATTTTAATGAGCTATTTGATGCAGTAAAATGCCACGATTGAAGGATGCTGCTCCTGTGACGCTGTGGTTCACAGGATTAGTACGGTAGAGGAGGAATAGAAGAAACAAATTCCAACACAACAGTCAATTAACTTTTCATTACTCTGACTCTCTGCTTCAAACCGACACAAGAATCTGTTCTGGACATTGTCAACCTAAGGGATCTGCATGTTTTTGGTAAATCAAATGTGCGCATATTGGGTGGGGCATGACATCCATGGCAGACTATACTACACAGACTCTGGCTCCTTATGACAACACCAGCACAATTTGTCATTGCCAATCTCAGGGGTATGAGGCTTCACTCATGTTAAACTGAAAAAGATCGAGCTGTGCTGTTTATTTTTATATACAGTCAACGGTAAACACCTTAAACGCAGATGTGAGGCTGGCAAACATGCACAGTATTCTGCAGGTTGGACGTCCTAGTGAAGTAACAATAAGCTTAGTACCTTATTAAGTGAAAGCAGACTCAAAGACACAACAAAAGGTTCTTTAAGTCGTAACAGTAATCAATGTAATGGTATAATCATTTTTAAAAGAAATCACCAGACTGATTAACACCTCTGAAATTGCTGTGTTTCAGAGTTCTGATGCTTCTTGCCACTTTCCTCTAATCCCCAAAGAAATTGAAAGAAACAAAGGGAGGGATGAAACAGATGGCAATTATATGTGTGAAATACAGCTCTTAGGAAGTAAAGTCGCTAGATTGTCAGCAAGGGACATGTTTTAGAAACATAAAATAAAAAAATTCAGAAGTGTAAAATAAAGCATATGACAAGGTCGAGGTGTGAACAAACATCTGATGACACCCTGTGTTGTGTTACTCAATTATGAATAGTATCTTTGTTTTTACATATTAATGTTCTTAAAGAAAAAGGGATCAAATGTTTAAGAGTATGTTGGAGGAAATACTCAAGTTATACATTGTCGGAGCACTGATAAGATGCTGCAACTAAATCTAAAATTTAAATCTGCTCAACAAAAATCAATACAATCAGTAATGTTCCTCTGTTAGCGAGCATCATCAGGTAAGAGCTGCATGTAATCATTTCAGACCAATCGCAGTAGCAAAAACAAATGTAAATACGTAAAATCTGAATAAGGTTAGATCGTCTGATTTAGATACCTTCATGAGCAGCTGTCTGATTGACTGCTGTCACAGTAAGCAGGCAGCAGCAGATGCTGAGATGCCACCACAGCACCCACAAAAAGGTCGTAGTAATTTGACTTCACTGCACCTGTTGTTCCATTTTTGGCTATTTTGTATTAACCCTGGACCAATTATGAGTACTTATAAAAGTTGTGAATGAGGGAACCGTCTAACCAGAGTCTTTTCTGCCATGTTATAAAATAATAATAATTTCCTATTTATTGTAGCTCCACAACTGATGACAGTAGAACTGACTTTTGAAGAACCAGAGAGGCACCAAAGTGGATCCCTGAGGAATTCCTTGGTCATCAAAAGTACTGGCCAATTTAAACAAAATCCTGTTACTGTAAGGACACACTCTCTGGCTTCTCACTGGGGTTGGTGACTGAATCACCCAAGTGCAGAGTCAGGTGTGTTTGTGGCTGATTGGCCTTGATTAAAGCCAGGTGTGGGAAGCTTATTTATACTCCTAAAGTTCAGTTCTTGTGCTGACTCATTATCTCACCTGCAGAGGTAGTGAGAGGTTCTCCCTGTGTTGTCGCTTGTTGTCTGTGTGTTCAGAAACACAAACAAATAACTTTCTGTGTATTTGTGTCTATTGCTAAAATAACTTGGGGTGCTGGGTAGTTGATATCCCCCAGCCTTTTGTGTTGAGTTTTAATGCCTCCCTGGCAGCCTTCACTTTTGTGAATTGTTTCTGGGTCTCCCGGACAATTTAGTTTCGAGTCAGCAGTGGTTTAGTTAATAATTTTCGGTGCATTAGTTAGAAGGGTGTTTTGCTCAATATATGCAAGTAAATATAGTTTCCTTTCAGAGGAACAGTCTTTCAAAAAATTGCTGTAATGCTGTAAAAATGTACTAAAAAAGACAGTGAGTTCATGGGTTGATCCAGAAAATAGGAGTGTTTAACATTCATATGAAAATACTGGTAGATCTGACACTAGAAACATAAAATGTGACTCTATGACAAGAACTTTTTCAGGGGGGAAATTGTGTCATCAAGCCTACAGTCTCCTTTGTAAATCAAATCACCTTAAAGAAGGCTACATGTAGATTTTTTTGGGCCAAGAGAAAGGTACATATTCTCTTGCTTATGAATAATTTTGTATGTAACAATTTGGATAAATATGACCTCTGTAGTTTCTATTATGTTGGTTTATTTTCAAAAAGAACTAAACATTTATTTTTTTTGTTTAAAATAAGTTAAATCTGAAGGTTTACTAAGGCAACAGGTATGTTTTTCTTAGACCTCATAAGAGGGTTAATTATGAATGATGTATAATTTAAATCATGGATGAGTTTCCTTTTACTCCAAGTGAAGATAGACTGATTCCACTTGAGTCAAGGTGTCACTAATTACAGAGCTTCTCCCTGATTGGTCAAAGGAAGCAGGTAACAGGGTTGAAAGGTGTGGGCAAAAAAGCACTCTGGTTGGTCTGCATTGACACTCCTCAGGAGAAGGTTGTGAGAAGAGTCAGTGTTTCCCTTTTATACTGATTTTTCTGTGCAACAGGCCTCAAATGTTTGGTTTCAAATCCTGTTTGTTCATCTTTTTTTACACTCAAGCTGCCTGCCATCAACAAGTACAACCATTTTTATATAACCAAGAATTCATTGTTTTTACAAGCTAAGAGAGATCTTACAGGTGCTGAAAGGAAAATATGATTTCACGGTTAAAGTGGTTATGGTCCTAATGCATAATATTGGATATTGGTCAATGACCCACCTCCAATTCTTCAAAAATTGATCAAACCTCATCAAACAAAACACTTTTTTCTGGAAATTATTTATTAAACAATGAGGGCTTCCTGGCATTTTGAATTTTTTATGTGCCTGGTATATTTTCTATTGCTGTCTACATATCACATAGAATCCCAATTACAAACCCCCAACATTAAGACAAATTGTACACAATACACACAACATAGCTGGGACTGTCACAAAGCCAATTCACTAGAAATTAAGGCAAATGACACCGGATGTTATTAGCATGATTCTCTTTCAAGTGTTCATGATTAAAACCGTAACTAAGTAAGCATGTATCTTTTTGAAAACAACTTATTCTACCAGTGATTACAATACATTTCAATTGTGGAGTTTTATCAGACTTTAGTCGTGGCTCACTATGGAGCCTGTGTTCAATGAGGAGGTTTTTCTTATCTCCTGTTTGCAAGTAGGTGATGCAGTACACAATTGGAGCTAAGGTGTCATACTATTTTACTGCTTGATAGGAGTGACAGAATGCAATCATATGCTGCAATACAAAACAAAGATGATAAACATGAATGTACAAAATACTATATTTTAAATACAATCCCACTGTTCAAGTGTTTTCCTTTCTAGCAGGTTTGTTAAAGCTCAAAGACAGACAATGCACTACAGTAAAAAAAACACTGAATGTACAACTAACTTTTGTTCTAATGAGAGGCATGTTTCAGTAAACAATGTGTGTTGCGTTTCCAACCAGTACTTAAAGGTAACTGAAATAATGAAAGTACAGTTACAGTAATCCGTTGTTTCCTGAGTTATCAGATTTGTGTGCTGGACTGAAACAAGAGGTAAGATGGTGAGCATGGCTCCATTGGTATCTAACTCATGTCTGCTACTTCTACTACTATCTCAGTTCACAGTTGAAGAGTTGTGAGGATGTGAGGTCATTACTTTACACACAAATATTCAGTTGATGCTTTCAAAAGAGTTTGGATTGGTGTCTCATTTTACTGGCCCTTTCCAACATGTTCTAAGTCTTCAAAGCTAAACGTTTGCGCAGCAAGGATGGGATCTGATGTGAGTTCATTGTTCAGTTTCAGACATTAGGATGTTACTTTCAATAGATGTTCCATCAATGTCTTTTTTCACTTCCTGAATTCTCTAACCTTAGAAGGGATCAGTCTTTGGGCATGAAAGTGAGCACTGCTTTCATTCCTTGGGTGCATTAATCTCTGCTTTCCTGAGAAAGTCCCCAGTATCCATAAGAAAATGTAAGCTCAGGAAGTCATTCTGTTGATGTCCTTTTAAACCCCTCCCTTGTGTCCACTAATCCGATCCAGGAACAGCTGAATTCCTGCAGATTCAGGTGCTGAGTAGCTGCATGAAGTCCCCAATGCCAAGTGTGTTACATTATTTGTCCGGTCTTGATTTAAGTAGGACAACCCATAAAGGGTCCTCTCATCCTGTACAATCTCAAGTTCTCTTCACAGAGTCACTCATCAAGCGTGATCTCCTATCCCCGAGCCTCTCCGTTGTACCTACTGTGGAACTGGTGAGTTGGATCTTGTTGCCATCAATAAAGTCCTTGGACGAGCCTTCCGGTGATGTCCTCACCGCGCTGGAGAAGGACATGCTGGCCGAAAGCTTCAGCAGCTTCAGAAGTTTCCTCTTGTAACCTTTACATGCAAAGAAGTAGATAAAGGGATCCAAACAGGCGTTGAGGTTCATCAGGCACACGGTGATGTGCAGCGACACCTGGAAGGCAGTGAGGGCAGCGCAGTCGGGTGTGGATGCCAACTTGCGGATCATGTACTGCAGGAGGTCGATGTGATAGGGACTGTAGCAGATGACAAAAACCAGAGATACGCAGCAGATCACGCCGATGGCTTTGCGGCTCCGCCCGGACTTGTCCGTGAGATGGTTTTTCTTGGCCGTGTGGCGGAGTTTGGAGCACAAGACAGAGTAACATACAAGGATAGTCACCAAAGGGATGATGTAACCGAGGAAGACGGCACCAATGAGTATAGGGGCGATGTGGTCCATCTTCTCAAAGTTGGGGTATTCCATACAAGTGATAAAGCCATCTTGTTCCACGTTGGTCATAGGACGGCCCAGAAGAGGAAGAGTCTGCCCCAGCACCAGCATCCACACACCAACACAAATGTATCGCACAGTACTGACCTTCCTGAATCGAGCGTAGCGCAGAGGCAGGACGACAGCAATGAAGCGGTCCACGCTGAGACAGGTCATGAAATTGACCCCAGCGTAGGTGTTTATGTAGAAGACTAGGCCCGAGATCTTGCACAGCGCCTCGCCTAGAGGCCAGTGGAAGCCCAGAGCGTAGTATGCAATCCTCAAAGGCAGTGACAAGGTGAAGAGGATGTCCGAGATGACCAAGTTGAGAGAGTATAGGGTGGTGGAGTTGATCTTCTTCAGATTGGGGCGGATGACGTGCAGGGCGAGGCAGTTACCAAGAAGTCCGACAATGAATACCAAGGAATAGAAAAGAGGCATGAGGACCCTGGCATAGTCCCGGTGGGCGTAGAGGGTTTCACAGAAAGTCTCGATGGAGAGGTTGTTGGAGGATGAGAGGTTGGCAGCCGTGGTCACAGTGGGGAAACCCATCATGATATATTTTTGAGCCTATAAAATGTGAGACAGGAAAATCAAATGTGTTAATACAACTTCTTTGTTCAATGATTCACAAAAATCATACAGCAAATGTGTGTATAAGGGGAAGCAAAATCAGACTTGTCCGTTTGAAAAAAAATATGATCTGTCTTTGTGGAAATGAAACTCATTGGGGTAGTACAACCCTGGCACAAGACAAATCACGAGCATGATTTACAAATAAGATGAGACGTTTCTTTTAAAAAGAAAGTAAGAAAAGTCATGGTATTTGTCATGACTCCATTGAGTGGAAGTTCCAAGTTGCTTTGAATTGCTCTAAACTAGATTACAAGATGATGAAAAAAATCCGGCATAAAGATTTACAATATCTCTGAACACATCAGAGGCTAAAAATGAATCCAATAAATTGGCCTACAATGAACCTCAAGCTTACTAAAATGAAATGGGCTTAGAGTTGGTGAGCTCTCTGCTGATCTCCCATGAGTAACCTACATCGAGGTAATGAAAAGCAGCCTGTCCTGTGTAATACCGCTGTAGTAGTTTTTGTGGTGTATGGTGCCATCTTGTGGTTCTTTTCAAGCCAAACAAAGGGCCAAACTCTACCCTGGTTTGTGCAATGGTTTCATTGCCATCATTCCCATTAAGACAAAGAGTGAAAATAAAGTTCAAGACACACTGATATGCTGTGAAACTGTGTCTTTGATGCACGTATAACAGGTCAAATGTTTGTTTAAAGTTAGTTAGTTAGTTTTAATAATGTACACAGAGGTTATCTTTTGAACTAATCAATTTGTTTTTGCTTTAAACTGACCACAGTTCCATCTTCCACAGCTATTAACCTATTTAAACACTATTGTACGTCTATGACTCACAGGATACCACCGCTGTTTTTGTTGCTAAAAGTGACATGAAGGAAGTCTGTGAACAATAACACAGCGTAACTGTGATTCTGAATGCAGCTGCAGCACTCTCACATTTACACATTGCAAAAAAGTGTGTTGAGAGATGAGTTTGTATGAGGAAGTCTGCCTCCCCAGGGTACTCTGCAGGCAGTTGGAAAGTTATATTGTTGCAGCAAAAATGACACCACCCTAGCGGCTATGTCCTCCAGCGCACACTGCAGCAGATAAACTTGCTTCCTGGCACATGAACATATGTGGTGGGAGTATTTAGGGAAATATGTTTTTTCTCTTTATTATCAAAATGAGGTTACATAAAGATTTGATAAATTATAAATCTATATTTAATGTCAATGATCTTTTATTCAAGAACAACTAAACTGTGGTGAAAGAGTTTCCAACTTTGAGTGATGACTGATATAAATGTGTTTGTTTTTTTTGATATATGGAGGATTTTGTCTGTAGAAATGTAATTACATTTCCATTTAGTGTTAATTGGAAATTTAAATTGACCCTTGTGTTGCAGACATTTGCATATAGCAGATATCTGACTCAACATTAGGCATATTTTCACTAAGAAAAAGTCATCACATAAACTAAACTACACACTGGTTCATTTCCTTAGACAATTATCTGTATCAACCTTTTATAATAAAAAAAAAAGAAAAAAGGTAAAAAGAAAAACGTACCTTGCAGATTGAAGATATTTCTATGGAGATTCACAGAGTTCACCCTGATCCTGAACACATCACACTTCTGCTTCAAAGTTGATCTCTGTTGAGGGCTGAGTCCTGACAGCACAACCACACTGCCCAGACTGAGAACAGCATGACATACAGAAATCAAGATCCGTATCTGCTGCTGGTAACCATAGTGACAAAATATCCTGTTGTTGCTCTCTCGCTCTCTCTCTCCCGTTCCTTCTCTCTACCTATGTGTTTATGTGTCTCTTCACCTATCAGACGTTTCCTAAACCTTTCAGTTCATGTAATATTTTATATGACCTTTGCTATCAGTAAAGCTGAGGGGGTTTTAGCCATCTGTGTCATATTTTGGGAGAGGAACACTGAGGTTTCATACACATGGCTGAACAATATATGCCATGTGAGTACTCTTAAGGAGGATGTGGCTTCAACTGCACCCACGAGACCGTTCTGGGGCATTTCTTATGAAACCTGGCTTTGGTAACATTTTCTCTCTTTCTTTTTTTGCATAAAATTATACACACCAATTTTCTTTTATCACTCTCTGTTCAGATGGTGATCAACTTCCTTTTGACTATGTAAATGTGTGTTGGGAAAGTTCCCCTTTGCACCCAGAAGCACCTTTTTATTTGATCTCATTTCGATCTTGTTTATCTCAAAATTACTTTTCAGAAAAGAAGAACCACACCTGTGACGCATTTTGATACAAAAACATGGTTGCTTTTGAACAATACAAAAAGTTATCTTTTACTTCCAAGCATTGCAGGTATGAAAAGCATTTAGTTAGTGAGTCAAAAGGCTTTGCAAACAAGCACGCGGTCACTATGGTTTAAGGTTTAAGGTTTTGGAGAGGCACAGTGATGAAACTCTCATTGGCTTTGTAGGGAAAGATCAGAGACCCTTCCAAATTTAAGATGTGGTTTACCCTTGATATATTACAAGAACATAAATTAAAGAAGATTATCTACAACGACAAAGCTAAAATCATCTTAAATGAAAATGACTCGCAATAATATGATTATTCCCTGAAGCAAAAAATTGTAATGATTTACAAAAAATGAATTAGAACCCAGGTCCACTTTTGCACAGGATCGCCAATAGCCTAGTGGTTGTGTGACGCAGCCCATGTGCAGAGGCTATGTCCTCGTCGCAGCAACTGTGGGTTTGAATCCTACTTCAGCTCTTTGCTACATTACATCCCGTACTCTCTCCTCTCAACATTTCCTGTCTCTCTTCAGATGTCTTATCCAATAAAGGCAAAAATGGCCCAAAAAAACAAACTTTTTTTTAGGCATCTTTAAAAAATAATTCTATCTCCGTTTTTACATTGTCTCCTAAAGAAATCAAAGCGAGTCAAGCCCACTAATCTTTCTTGATTTATATTTAATACGATTAAACTATCTAAATGAAAGTACATGGATTAAATCAGACAGTACCAAACAAGGCAACAAAAAAGAATAATTGAGAGACTGTTTTCTGTTCATTTTAATTGTTACATAAGTTGAACTGTGCAAAAAAACAAAAAAACAATAAACAGCTGCATGAACTTTCAATCAGGTGCTGCTGCTGAGCTCTAACTTCAGATACCCTGCGGTTTTCACACCTTTGAATCACTCCCGCTCTTTTGGGCACATCTTTCACCTCAGTTATACCTTATGGGTTATGCATTTGATGCCACAGTATGTATCAGGGTGTTTCCAATAAATTCACTTGTTTTCATGAGAAAAAGTTGTACCCTATTAAACAGAGAAATATGAAAATTATGCTCTTCCGTTCCAGTTGTCATCAAGATAAAACAACAACTTCTGCGATATCTGTTAAAAGAATCATAATCAGTTTTTTTTTTTATTAACCACAACCCTCCTTTGTTCAAAACAAGTCCGGCAGTGAGGCAGAGGAAGCAGTTAAACTTCCTCGTGGCCTTGCCATGTGGACCTGACTCACCAGGCTTCAGACGGTCAGATCACACCCAGCGCTGACAGACGACAGGCATGGTAGTCTGCCATTTCTATTCATAGAAAACAATGGGGCTGAACACAAGAGAAAACTCCCCCACAGCACCTTTACACTCCATCACTTGGTTTTTAAGTTATTGGACTTAAAAACCCGCTTAGAGCGCTCGGGTCATCAAGTGCAGGTCTGTTAGTTGTACTAAGAACGAGATCAAAGTCTGGAGAGGGGGCTTTTGGTTAATGTGGTCCTTCTCTTTGGGACAGACTACCTGCTGACATGAGGTCCATCACACCTTCACTGTCTCTAGTTTTAAAGCTAACCTCACACAACTTCTATTCTCAGAAGCATACAAATATGTGTGCGTGCGTTTGTGACCACATGCTTGCGTTCGTGTGTGTGTCTGTGTAAATGTTATCTCTTGTGTCATTGGTTGTATGTGCAGTGTAGTGTTTTTTGGTTTGATTGCCATGTGGTGTCTCTGATGTACATTGGGCGCGTGTTCCTGTTTTTGTATCCTCAATGTAAAGCACATTGAGCTTACCTGTAATGAAGTGTGCTTTATAAATAAACTTCGTATTCTATCAATTTTAACAGAGAATGAGTCTATTCATTTAGTCAAATTTACTGCAGAAAACAATTCTGTTAAAGAGAAACAGGCAGATTTTGTTTCACTGCTCCTGATACTAATCAGTGTGTTGGTGCATCCTGTGTACAATAAAGGAAGCCACCTATGAGAAACTTCAAAAAGGAAATCCTCTTGAGTCGAATCTGTTGAAATATTCTATTAACTGTCTGGAATCAACAGTGTGAGCGTATCGCAGACGTCAACTGATGCTTTCATTAACATGTGGCTTATGTTGCGTCCATGGGAGCAGAAAAGATGAAAAAGTGTCCGCTTCAGACGTGTTGGAGGATAAACAGTACATCCCACACGTACACTGCTGTTTCACAGATAGATGGATGGATAGATACTTTATTAATTCCTCGCAAGTTCAGTTATATGATTCAAAAAATCTTCCAACCATCTGGGGCGGCTGTGGCTCAGTCGGTAGAGTCATCATCTCTCAACCAGGAGGTCAAGGGTTCGATCTCCAGCTCCTGCAGCCACAAGACACCTAACAGTGTAACAGTGTAACTTGGTCTGCAGTGTATGCATGTGTATGAATGGGATTAGTTAATACTGATACACTCATCAGGGACACATAGCAGCCTCTGCCATCAGTGTGTGACTGTATAGGTGTGACATGAGGTGTGAAACTGCTTCGCGTACTCAGAAGATGCGCTAAACCAGCTCAAGCTCATTTACCATTCACCCCCATTTTGATCACTGTGTTTCACTTACGTCTGCAGGGAATACATCTGAGAAATACCTATAGAATATTTTAAATTTCAGGCTCTCCTTTCTACCCTGAAAAACAAGAATTTTTTTTTTTTTTTAACTTTTTGGGACTTCAGGGCCTCCGTACCTTTCTAAGAAAAAAAAGAAGGAACGAAAAAAAACCTCTCGGGATCAAACAGAGTATTTTTTAAAAATTTGAAACGAAAGAAGAGAGAACAAGAACTTTTCAACCATATTCCATAAATGCAGTTTGTTTCTTGCTATATTTTCACACTACAGTGCCACATAACAAATATGTGTTGTTTGCTACAAGCTGGTATTTAAGTGTCAAAGTGTGAAAGAGGGCCTCTCAACACGTGGTTGAGATAAGATTGCAACAGTTTTAACAGGAAACTGCCTGTTGTTCTTTCTTCATCACAAAAAAAAGAAACTCTTGGTTTGGTGACAAAGTTCACATCAAACCTCCATCTGATACGTCTTCACTTCTCGTCTTTGTGTTTGATATGATTATTTATAATAAAAATAATACCTTTATTTGTACAGCGCTCAAAGCACTTTAAAAAAAAAAAGCCAATACAGAACAGTTGACACAAAGTATTACAGACCATAAAAAGCAAGTATAAAATAAATAATTAATAATCTAAACTTTATTTAACCAGGTAATTAACCCATTGAGCTCAAGCTCTCTCTCACAAAGGTGACCTGACCTAGTGGGCAGCAGCAGCAGATGATTAAGAAACAGTTCACAAACAATGTGTTTAGAGCAACAGCAATTAAAAATGTGCAAATTGGTTGTAAGATAAAGTGTAGAATTTGTGATCACATATTACAATTTAAAATACACATCAGGAGCTGTCCAATGGTGTCACATTTTTGGGTCATCTAAGATCGAGCCAAAGACTTCCTGCAAAATAAAATGAATCGCTCTTTCCTAGAGCTCAGTCCAGACAAGAGGAACAGACAGCTTCACAACATCACGCGTTTCATTTCATTACGTAATTTTTTTTTTTACCTCATAGTTATTACTTAAGTACGGACCAAAAACACTCCCTTACTTTCAAATGTGGGAGAATGCTCGTTTCCATGGCGATCAGTTTTTTTTCTCTTAAGAACTGTACTGTATAAAATGTACCATAATCTGTCTCTAACATGGCATTTCATATTGCCTTGTTTGATTCTTATCTCCTTTTCTGTTTACTTTCTCTTCAGCTTTTCTGTTTCCTACAAGTAAGAAATGCGTCAAAGGAATTTTGGGCCAACCACATTTGTGTTTGCCCTGTTATTGCATTGTGTAGGTGTGAGCTAATGTCTCAGTTTTTCATGTCTGTGAGATGATCAAATCATAGATAGTTCCTAATGATTAATCCCACAACAATTTCAGTTGTTAGAATACCACAGGTTCAAAAAGGTGTATTATAGTTCAAGAAAAAGGATTTAGCTCAAAGATTACATGAAGACTTGTTTTGTAACATTATTGTGTCACAACATTGCTGCGATGTCTCAACTGATCTGCAAGAAATACAGTCAAAAGGTTGCAGACTTAGGATGAAGCGTGGGTATTCTGTGCATACAAATTAACTATATTCAAATGTTATAACTCCATCAGTTAGCTTGACTTGAACAAATACGATATACAAAACTCTCTCAAAATGTAAGTGGATTGTAAAAAGTATTTTTCTGCCAGTGTGCCTCACTTGACACACTGAGGTCAAACAACACTTGTACTATGTAGATTAATTAGAGTAACATATTATACCTGTACTCTTGATGTTTCTTGTACCACAGTAGTAGTACCACAGTCTATAGAAACAATAGGACAGTGTACAGGTCTATGTTGATCTTCATACTACAGGTGTTGTTTTTGACCTCTTAAAGGCTTTATATGCAATTTTTTTTGTCCAGCAGATGTCGCCCTTGAGCACCAGCATGAAACCAAAACAACTTGCGGTGCATTGTTGTGTTAGCATGTTAATGCTAGTGATCTTTATTATGCTCGTATCTTCACACTGCATGTAAATTTACCTGAAATGAGCGTGATCTAGA